CTTGGTCTGGGGCAAGTGATGCTCTGTATTCTTGGTGCTTGGGGGAGGGGCAACAGTGGGAGGGCTTCTAATGTCCTGGCCCCACTGGTGGACCTCCTGAGGGCACCTGGTATTTTTGGCCACTGTGTGAGGCAGAGTGTTGGACTGGATGGGCCTTTGGCCTGATCCAATATTGGCTTCTCTTATGTTCTTATAGGAACTCTTGGTCTGGGGCAGGTGATGCTCTGTGTGGTGGGGGGGGGGGGGGGGGGGCAGCAGTGGGAGGGCTTGTAGTGTCCTGGCCCTGCTTCTGGACCTCCTGGTGGCACCTGGTATTTGTGGCCATTGTGTGACACAGAAGAGTGTTGGCCTGGACGGGCCACTGGCCTGATCCACCACTGGCCTGATCCACCATTGGCTTCTCTTGTGCTCTCTTATGTTCAATCAGCACGCTGCCCCCCCTGCACAGTCCTTCCTCGGATCTGACCCAGTGCCACCTCCTCCTCCTCCTAGGGGTCCTCTGCCCTTCCCGGCCCAGATAACGGGGAGGGGGGGCCCAACCCCCCCCTCCCCCAGTGCAGAGTACCCACCACAGTTCAGCTCATCGCTGCCATCTTGGCAGTCTCTCTCGCCGTCACACAGGTAGTCCCGAGAGATGCACTGCTTGTTGGCGCAGACGGCCTCGTCCTTCCGGCAGGGGCGCCTCTCCGGGATCAGCAGGGGTTTGGAGGTGACCGTGCGGGCAGGAGTCGTGGCCGGCGGCCGGCGAGACGTGACTGGCAGGGTGGTGGCTGGAATCCGGGTGGTGGCTGGCCGTGGGGGAGTGGCGACCACTGGAGGGGTTATAACTAAGAGCAAACCCAGAGAGGGTCAACGGCAGGGACAGAGAGAATACGTTCGTGTGCTGAAGACGCGAGTGGGACAGAGGAGTTTCCGTGGGAGGAGACACAGAGAGCTGGGGGGGGGGGGGGTCTGGGGGGGGGGATCCAGCAGCCGCCTGCCACGGCAGAAGCCACGCGGCACGAGCAGTTGCCTCTTCCCCTGCCGTGGATAGCCCAGGCAAGCCCGGTCCTGTCAGATCTCGGAAGCTAAGCAGGGTCGACTCTCGCAAGTCCTTGGATGGGAGACCTCCTTGGAAGACCAGCACTCAGGAGGCGGGGGCAGGCTTTATGCAGCCACCTCTCTAAATGTCCTCCAGGCCCCCAGTAGGGGACAGTCACCAGAGGTCGCCATGACTTCCAGGAGCACGCACATGCACACGCACACACACACATGAAAAATACAAAGAAATACCCAAAAAAGAAGCAGTTGCCTCTTAAGTAGCTCCCCCCAATCCGAGAGGCGTTCCTGAAGGAATCCCCAGCCAGAAGAAAACGGCTTGACCCCCCCCTCCCCTCCTTCCTCATCACAGCCATCCTCGTCAGAGGCGTCCCCACAGTCGGGATGTCCGTCGCAGTGGGCAGCCAGGCGCACACATTCCCCGCTGTCGCAGGTGAACTCGTCGTGGGCACAATCCATGGGTGGGAGGTGAGCTGTTGAATAGGGGAGGGGCGGGGGAAGCTGAGCCCCAGGCACAACCCCCACCGGGGGCAGGGGCAGGGGGGGGCAAGAGAGGTGCCTGGAGCCTCTGCCGCTGCTCCTGTCCCTGCAGTGCCCCCAAGTCGCCCCACCCCGAATGCTCACCGCAGTCCAGCTCATCCGACATGTCCCGACAATCTGGGCGGCGGTCGCAGAGGAACTCCCTGGCCACGCACTCTCCGCTGCGGCACGCAAACTCCTCTTCGGTGCAGGCACGCACCACAGGGGTCACTGCAAGCAGAGGGGAGGGTCAAGGGTGGGGGGAGAAGACGGCCGCTCACCTCTCCCGCGGGCCTCCCCAGCCCCCAGTTTTTGGAGCAGGAATCTCTGAAACCCCCTCCCCACCAAAACCATGAGAGTCTTGCACCCGCTCCTGCTCTGCCGGCTGCAGCCTCCCCCTCTGCCTGGAGCGGTCACCCCCTCCCTCCAGCCCCATGGCACAGGGGCACAGGCAGCCACCAGCCACGGGGGAGACAGAGGCCTCGGCCATGCTGGCCACGCGCCACGCGGTTCAGGGTGGCAATCCCGAGCAGGGCGAGCCCAAAGCCCTCCCCGAGCCAGGCCTCCCCTCCCCCCCCCCGGATCACGTTTTGCCTTCAGTCCTTGCTCAGTGGCATCCCACCAGAGAGGGAACAGGAGACGACAGGGTCCCCTGGAGCAGAAGGGTGGAGAAAAACAAGCAGCTCCCACCCCCCCAAACCAGCCTGGTGCAGCTGGCTGTCAAGCAGAAGAAGAAGAGGAGATTGGATTTATACCCCATGGCCCTTCACTACCCGAAGGAATCTCAGAGCGGCTTGCAAACGCCTTTCCCTTCCCCTCCCCACAACAGACACCCTGTGAGGTGGCTGGGGCTGAGAGAGCTCTGACAGAAGCTGCTCTTTTTCAAGGACAGCTCTGACAGAACTACAGCTTGCCCAAGGTCATTCAGCCAGGTGCGAGTTGAGGAGTGGGGGAATCAAACCTGGTTCTCCCAGATTAGAGCCCGCGCACTTAACCACGACGCCAAGCTGGTACCAGCAGAGAGTCTGGGGCCTTCTTGAGGGTCTCAAGACCCATCTGCCTGCAGCAAAAGCCTTCCTGCAGAATTCTGTCGTCCCCCCATCCGCCCGGAGGGCAGAGATGACCAGAGCCCCCAGTCCTCAGGGACTGCCCCACTGCAAACAGCTCAGGAACAGCACTCCACGCGGCTGCAAACACAGGCTGGGCACTGCACACGGCATGATGGGGGGAGGGGTGCTGGCAAGGCAGTAGTGCTGGGCTGGAACACCCACAGCTCTGCCTACCTGGGGGAGACTGTCCCACCCCAGCACATTCCAGCAGCCCCAGAGCAGTCAGAGGAGGAGCAAGTGCGAAGGCTCAAGTGCACACGCACACGCACACAGCACAGCACAGCAAGAAGCGGGTCTTGCACAGAGACCCGGAGCTTCCCCTCCCATGAGAAGAAGAGGAGGAGGAGATTAGATTTATACCCCGCCCTTCATTCAGAGTCTCAGAGCGGCTTACAAACTCCTTTCCCTTCCCCTCCCCGCGACAGACGCCCTGCGAGGCAGGTGGGGGCTGAGAGAGCTCTTGACACAATCCGCTCTTTTTTCAGGACAGCTGTGCCAGAACTATGGCTTGCCCAAGGTCATCCGGCAGGTGCAAGTGGAGGAGTGGGGAATCGAACCCGGTTCTCCCAGATTAGAGTCCGCGCACGTAACCACGACACCAAACTGGCTCTTGGGGATGCGTGCACAGACCACAAGGCTGTGAGCACTGAAGCCCCTTCCCCGTGTGTGTGTGAGAAAGAGAGGAGACCCCTGAAATCTACCCAAGAGCAGAGGACGCTGCATCTTGGCTGCACGGACCCAACGACCCCCTCCTGCGGTCAGCCTCCGAGCACGAGCTGTCTGGAACCAGCAGCAGGAGCAGCAGAGTCCTGGCAGCAAGACCCAGCCTCCTCCCCC